ACAATTCATCCCCAGTATTTTAAAATGAATTTTAAATGTATTTTATGTTTGTATAATCGTGTCGTTTTTAGTAAATACATCCAGGAAATAAGAGCAAGTAACTGTAGTAAATTTAAAATTTATAGGTAATTTTCTAACATTTCCTCAACAAGCGTCTTTGTAAGCCAAAGTATCTAAAATTCAATAAAATATTAGAATGTTTAAAATATTTAAAGTTTTTAAGATTACTGGGTAGGTTAAAGATCTTTTTAAGTAATTTTATTTCAATTATTAGCTCCTTACTTAGATTCTCCAGTTATCAAGCTGTCAATAGATCTCTCAACACCTCATAAAAACACATGCCTCATTGTTAAACATGCTTTTCTGCTATATTTTAAACTAAAAGTGTTTCAGTTCAGATTAATTCAACTTTAAATTAACTAATTTTTCTCAAATAACGTTTCAGAAGTATATATTTTATTTACATTTTTTTAATAAAGAGAAATATGCTGTGTTGACAGATTTGGCAATATGAACGATTTTATAGATTTTAATGACAAACAGAAAAATTATTCCAATCAATTTGAATTCGGTTTGAATTGAAGCAAAGTATTTTACTTAACGGAAATATTAAGTTAATTAACTTGAAATCAAAACTAAAATAAAAGCTTCAAGTAAGAGTTTTCATTTTTTAAAATGAATTTTAAACCTTAGGTATCGGTTTTTTATAGTTATCGATGCAAAATATATTAAAAAACAAATTACTTTTGCTTTATTTTATTTCCATTTATTTTCTTCTTTTTTTTTTTCTAAATCATGCCATTAATTTTTTTTCTAAATCATGCCATTAAATTAAATCACAATTACTTCCACCTCATCTTTTCCATGACTTCGATATCCGATTGTATAACTTTGGACAATGCGAAATAATAATTATCATTATGTGATTACTACTGATACCAACACTAAACACGGACTATCTCAATAGAAAATCCTATAAACAGCAAAAACTACTGCTGGCCGTGTCTTGACCCTCTCGCAGAGAGATTAGTGGAGAGAAATTTATTAATTCTGTGTGTCTACATTGGTCATCAAAGGCACGATCAAAGTGTATTTCTTGTGTCCCCCCGCTGAGACTGACTTTGGGGTTTTCGACCAAAGTTTGTCTCTCATTCTAATCACCGACACTGTTTTATCAATGCGGTCGTCTCTTTTATGTTTTTGAGTGTCACCTCTCAGAATCCATTAAATAAGTTGTCCAAGAAATCAGTACTTGCTGTGCAGACCCACGAAATCCGTCTATAAATGTATAGGCATTTATAATCATACAAGAAATGTGATCGCCTGTGTTTTATACAGACACAAACACATATATACATATACATATATATATATTGTTCCTCACTGTCTGTCTCTCTTTCTCTCTCTCTCTCTTTCTCTCTCTCTCTCTCTCTCTCTCTTACACATATAATTATAAACAGCATGAACATTTACATATATATAATGTATGTGTGTATATATATATATACATATATATATATATATATATATATATATATACATTTTGTTACTCACTCTCTCTCTCTCTCTCTCTCTTTCTATATATATATATGTGTGTGTGTGTGTGTGTGTTTACACATCTATAATTATAAACAGCATGAACCTCTTCATGTCATGTATATTTATCGCATTCAGAAGTAATATTTCTCTTTTTCTTATGAACGTGTGTCTGCATATAACTTACTTACCTTGAATAATATTCGGTGTCTATAAGTACACACACAGACATGCTTACTTGTTTTATTAAGCTGTGTATGAACCGACAACTAACTTCATTCACAATAAAAGGAAATAAAACTCGACTCAGAGACTTCATACACATCTGTACATAAATAAAATGGATCATGCCTTCTTCGCTATGAAATTCTTAAACTTATGTGCATACATGTCAACAATATATAAAGACAGACTATAATTTTTTAAAAATCGGTTTCGAACTCAGCTGAAAAGAGAGCGATTCTGAGAATGGGCGATATAGTTTTCTCGCAATAGCAGATGATAAAAAAGGTAGATAGACACTGATCGATCGATGAGAACTGCTGACACAATTTTGGAAAATCGGTAATCACTGTAATTTTGAATCAGTGAACTCGTTAGAAGTCCTATCGGGATTCATTACTGGCGGCAATCAATCTTAACAATATAAGATATGCAGATGATACAGTGATGATAACAGACACAGAAAGGAAACTATAAAAGCTTCTACAGAGTGTAGTGAAGGAAAGCAAGAAGAAAGGACTAAGTATAAACTAAAAGAAGAGAGAATGCATGGTTATCAGCAAAATGAGCCCAAAATGCAAATTACCAATCGGGGATACTAAAATCAAACAAGTAGAGAAATTTAAATATCTGGAAAGTGTTCTAACAGTAGACAGAAAGTGCAACACTGAGATCCGAAGATGTATTGGGATGACCAAAGATGTATTCCAAAAGCTAAGCAGAGTATTAAGAGACAGAAAATTTTGTTAGAAACAAAGAAATATGTCTGTAACTGTTACATGATGACTGTCCTCCTGCATGTCAGTGAAAACTGGACAGTCTCCTCATAGCTGAAGAAGAGACTTGAAGCAAAAGAAATGTGGTTCTACAGAAAGATGCTGAGGATACTATGGACTGAACATGTAAGCAACTACAAGGTTTTGGAGGAAATGAAAGCAAAAAGGAAACATGCTTGCCATTAGGAAGAAGCACTTGAAATTTTTTGGGAATGTTACAAGGAAGGAGGGCTTGGAAAACCTGATACACACAAGACAGACTGAAGGAAAGAGGAACAGAGGAAAGCAGCGCGTAACATACTTGATGAGTTTGAGCAAATGGAGGGTAGAACAGGGTTTATGAGACATAACAAAAAGACAAAATTTATTGAGTTACAAGGGGCAGGAAGATATGGAGGGCCATGATCGCCTACATCCTGAAGGAACACGGCACATAAAAGAAAAAAGAAGAACTCGTAAAAAACATAAATTCTCACCCCCACCACCCCAAGTAACCGATGTCAGGACAGTCGTCAAATTGGTCAAGATTCCCATGTATGTAGAATTTGCAGAACCGAACACTAGCCAAAATAAAAGAGCAGATGTTTAAATGATTCAAATTTTCTTTCACCGACAACAACTCTATCAAGACAAAGAAAAGATTGAAAAATCAGTAATGAGTAAGAATGTATATATGCAATTGTGAATCAATTAGGTTAGAATTCGAGATTTTGTTCACACTTGATGTAGACTCCATGATAGCAAGTGGAATATTCTGTGTTCCGAAAGGTTTTCTTTTAAAAACTATCTCCTGTGGTATTCTATGACTTACCAGGAAAATGATGCCAGGGATTTTCGCCTGTTAGTTGTCATTGCCAAAAAGCAATAAAGAAGAAAATGTCCTGCTCTTCTTCATTCTCTCTTTATCCAAACGATGCCGCAGGGACAACACGTGTTGCGTTTCCCCTACAGATAGACTTCTTTCTCCACGTAAAGTAACACAACATACAAACGCCCTAAGCTGATAATTCTACTAAGCGAACAAGGCAGCTTTCTCAAAAGCAAACCTCAACATCTTTTAT